TCGTAAATGTAAGCAGTGAAAAGGAAAAATAGCAGGTTAAATGAAATCTGTCAGATAATTCTATAGAAAAACAACATGTGGAATGCAAAAACGTGTTCTGTGAATGACCCCTTGAGGACGCAGCCACCTGTTGTGCTGGAGTGTCAACTAGATACAGTTAGATTCTTTACAACATTTAATGTGTAGTATAGAGAATAAAAATATGATGTTATAGTGCAGTTCATTCTGGGAATTTGGGACACGACAGCCTGATTGATCTCTACAGCTTCTAAATACACACTGATTTGCAATAAATTAAACGCTCACACCAAAAATAACGAAGGAAATCATGTATGGACATGATTTTTTTATGGCAGCTCATTGATACCCTGTCGCTTACAGATGCGCTCTCATTGATTTGATTCCTCCATCTCTAGTTCGCCTTTAGCACTGGAGACTGACTATAGAATGCACATTTTCAGCTTCTCAGACACACAAAGCGCGTTTGCGAGAGGCTTTTCAAAAAGTGACTATAAAACATTCTGCTTTTATTGTAGTGATTGCCTTAGTTTACATTGTGTGCTCTTGAGCATGTCAAATCAAAGTTTATTTCTGGAGCATGCTCTTAATTACAACCTTTGAACAACCAAGGTGCTGTACAGTAGCAGTAGCAAATAAAAACAGCAGCACATTACAATAAAAACAACAATGTAAAGCAATAGTAACAACAGTAAAAGTTTCCAAGAAAGAGTCAATTTAGTGTAGCCTGGAACCGCCATTAAGGAATATTAAATGTACTTAAAAAAAGAAGAGTCTTTAACATCGATTTATAAATAGATAGAGTGGCTGCTATTCGGATTTTTAATGGTAACTTATTCCATAGTTTCAGACCCACAACTGCGAAGGCTCTATCGCCCGTGCATTTGAGATGAGATCAGGGTGTTTGCAATAGATAGCAGTCAGAATTTGATCTAAGCAATTGGGTTTGTTCCTTAGTAGTGATCAAATCCGAAAGATACGGTGGCGCTAGGTTATACAAAGTTTTATAAACAGAGTAAAATTTTATAGTCTATTCAGAAATGAACTGGCAACCAATGTTGTGATTGCAATATTGGTGTGATATGGTCATATTTGTGGCTATTTGTGAGCAAATAGGTGGCCGCATTTTGAAGTTTAGAAATAGAAGTTGAAGGTAGATCAATATATAAAGCATTACAGTAATCTAATCGTATGGAAATAAAAGCTGAAGGCTTTCACTTTGGTTAGTCATCGTAGATGATAAAATCTTAAACTTACTATTTTACTTATTTGTTTGTCAAGTTTTAGAGTACTGCCTAGTAGAAACCCAAGGTTTTTAACTTCAGAGGTGAGATAACCGTTTAATACACCGAGATCGGTAGGTGGTTTGCTAGAATGCTGTGGAGGACCAAATGACTTTGGTCTTATCTTCATTCAAAAGCAAAAAGTTATCAGTGAGCCAGAGTTTGATTTCACGAAGACAATCTTCTAATCTCTTGAGGGTTAAGCTATCATTTTTTGGATGGGTATATAAAGCTGTGTATCATCTGCATAGCAGTGATACATAATTCCAAAATTTCTCATTATAGAAAAAACAAAAACATGGCGTAATGCTACTCATTATGACGTAGGTTTCCATTCTCTATTAACGCTGCATTAATATTTAATAGTACGCTTTGATATAAAAACCTTTCAATGCATATTGCTCATTTTCCACTCTTAATCTGATTCCTTGTAAAAATAAACATAGTTTAGCACCATTATTTTAAGTAATGGAACATTTTCGGGGTTTTATCGTGAATTTTGTCCAACCTTCTTGAACTAAATCGTCTACAAAGTGAGCTCAACATACCTGTCCTGTTCTGTTTCCTTGGTTTAGTCCAGGCTGGCAGTGAACAGTGTGACCGCAGGGGATTATGGGCGTCCGCTTAGGATCTCAAACTTCATCAATGAACTGGACTCTGGCTTTCGCTTGCTCAACCTGAAAAACGACCCCCTCCGCAAACGCTACGACGGCCTCAAGTACGACGTGAAAAAGATCGAGGAGGTGGTGTACGATCTCTCCATCCGAGGCCTCGCCAAGGAGCAGGAGGCAGGAGAAGAGAAGTAGAGTTGTTGTGGGAATGCAGGAGGCCCTGGCTGCGATTCGCCACATCTGAAGAAGAGTGCTTGAACCTGATGGCGGGCAGGTGGACAGTTGAAGAAGGGGAGGGAACGGAGGTCCTCAGACGGTGTCTTTTAAACCACCTGCTTACCTTGACAGAGAACAGGTTTCAATGGGAAGATGTTTTCTTTCTCACTTCTGTTGAGAGATGCTTTTGTACAGGTGCGTTCTGTTTGCCTGTTCTGTTTGATTGGATGTTTTTATACTCTTATTGATATTTTTGTCTCAGCCACGTGTATTTCAAACCATTTTATAGTCAAGCAACATGAAGAAATTTGGGAAATGTTGGGGGAAACAGAGGTTCTGTGCTTGTTTTGTTCATTTCAGTCTAGAAGGACATCAAGATGTTTGATGTTGACTTGCACAAGCATTACATTGGACATTTTTTCTGTTTATTAATTAAATTGGGTTTTCGAAACACTTTTTTTTGTCACTTTTTGATAACTTTTTTTTTAAATTTACGTCAAAATTACATTTGTGGTTTGAAGTGAACAAGAAACATGCCAAAATGTTAAGCTTTATACAGTAAAAATATCTGCACTCTGTAAGTCGTAAATTTTCCTTGACTGGTGGTTCGCTGTTTGTCTCATATGCACAATTCCATGTATTTCGCTGTTGAATGGACGGTTTATACAAAATAAAAGTTCTGTTGTAAATTTTTCATCTTCAGGTTATTCTGAAATTTTTATTGTCCACTTTTGTTTTTGATCCCATTGGCTTAATTTGTTCCCCCCTACAAAACAGTGGACATCTATTTTAAAATGATGTCTGTCTTTAGTGATTTACTGAGGGAAGCTTTGGAACAACACTAGGATGAGAAAATTATGACCGAACGTTCATTCCTTACTGTACATTACTGATCAGTTGTGTATCACTTTGACTTCACTATTTGCTTCTTTTTGTTCTGCTCTGATGTTGTTCTGGACGTTGCATGCTGAACTTGTTAAAGTATTTCATTATGAGAAAGAGCTTTGGAAAAAATAACACAAACAATATAAGCAAAAGTTTCAAAGAGCAAACTGACCGTGCATTTGTTTTGGTATGTAAAGCTTTATGGAAACTTTTCCATTCCTCCCTTCTTTATTTGTGTTCTGTCAGTGCATTGCCTTTTTATTGCAGATCTTGTCTCTTTTGTATGTGCATGTTTCATCTGATCTTCAGTGATGTTGGGGGGCTTTTACTTTTATTTTCTTAGTATTTGTAAGCAATAATGCTTTGTTTCTCCCCAAAGAAAGACTTCTGTCTGACAGTATTTGCATTTGAAATGCCTGTTCATGTGGTGATTCAACATTTGACTTTGCTTTTCAATAGGAAATCATGTTTTTCTTGTTCAGTAGTGTTATATAATAAAGATTATCGTTGCAAACGATGTTCTCAGAAAACACAGAGAGAGATGGATACTTGTCTTTTTTTTATTATTGTTCACAATATTTTACACAACAAAATTATATTAAATTAGGATTTTTAAGATTGGAAAAAAGGTATTTAACAGCTTGATTGGTCTCAGTTCAAACTCTCTGGCAGCTTTAACTCTTTCTGTCGTGTAATGTGGAAGCTATGATTTTTCTAACAGTATCAATGCCATTGGAAAACAAACGGTAAGTATACATGTTGCAACTTAGATGTAATCATTTCTACCCATTCATAGACGGAGAAAGACTAAAATGGTGGTGTGAATGTGGCTGATTGCTATTGCTGAAGTCAACTGTGGTTCGTTTTTTCTTAAAGCTCAAACAATCTTTAAAACGGAGTACAGTAAAGCTTTGTAAACTGCAGAACATCGTTCTCGCTGATGCTTTAGGACCTTCGTATTAAAGTGCATCAAACAAAAACAGCTAAGGTAACATCGAGCGAGTTGTAATAAAGCACAGCTTCGAATATCAGTGGGGAATCGCTTGGAATACAATAGCAGCAAAAAAAAAGAATATCTTTCTCGTTTACGGCCTGATCTGTGGGTACAAGTAGAGGGGAAACTTGAACTAATTTGTACTCATTCATTATCAAATAAACAAAGGCACATATTTTCTTCCCCTCAAAGATTACAAGAGAAGCAACATCCCAATTATTAGCTACAAGATTTGGGGAGGAAATGGTTAATTGGATTGATTCTAATTCTGGGTCGGGTTTCAGCACAACCATGAATGTGGCATTAGATTGGTGCTACATCGTCGTCAATGAAGAAAAAAAATGTTCTGTTACATCGCTGCTCACAAGAACAGCGGTACCTCCAAACAAAAACCGCTGCTACATACAATGAAGATTATTGCTGTTTTATAAACCAGCACAGTGATCCAAAAATGAGAACTGCTCCTGGATGGCAGTGGGAATCAATGCTAATGGAAGAAAGAGAGAGAAAGAGGAAGTTACAATGGTCCGAAAACAAACAGCTTCACCCATTCTTCACATCGAACACAGCTTTCCACTCATGTGCATACTAAAAAGTCCACCAATCCTCCCTCATGCTCACCATTTCACACCTGAAAGCGTTTCTTCTCAGTAGCAAACTGGTTTTACAATCAGTAAGTGCAGCAGTGAGGCATCTAACAAGGCCTTCGTTTTGGTATGCCAAAGGGCATTACTTTTTGCTTGACAGTGAATTTGTCCTTGTCCCGAATGTCTTTTTTTTTCTCTCCACTCATACAAAGTGCCACCTTAATATTAAGTCACTTTTAAACCACAGTAAAACCTTGCGATTTAAAAGTCCATTGGTGGAGAACATCTATTGGATCTGGTTTTCCCACACAAATACTGTTCGCTCAACAAAATATCGATTTGTTTGTTTTTTTCTTCATTATTATAACTCATTTTTACATCAGAGTTTGTGCCCGAGGGCTCAGTCTCAGGACCGGCTCTGAGAGGTGTTAATCATGATATTAGGAAGAGCGTTGCGTCGTTTTCTCCAGGATCCTAGATCACAAACGTATCTCTTAACCTGTCGAAACCACTGCTGAGTGCGTGGTTTGTCAGAGGCACGGAAAACGAAGGCCTCGCGTCGGATGTCCAGCACTTCAAAGGTATCTTCACAGTCTGGGTCCACGGACACCACGCAGTTAGCCAGACGGATGGGTTCCCGTAACACAGTGAACTTGCCACTGCTTTTGTCCTTGATGAGCACCAGCACGCCGTCCTGCACCGCCTCCGAAGACTCCAAACTCCCGTCAGGAACTGCGTCTGTAGCACGGAGAGTGCGAACCATAAGTAAGCTTTGAACGTTCTGGAATTTGAGGGATTTGCTTCCCTTCTTCAGCCACTGTCCATCGGCGGGCTGTGCTAGCTGGAGCGGCCCCTCCATGATGAAGCGGGTGCTTTCTCGGGCCCAGCCCACCATCTTCATCGACAGCTCCCTCATCTCGATGTTGATGACCTCTCGGTTCTTACGGCTGTCGCGTCGGAAGGAGCGCAAGGACCACGTGGCAGTCCCTTCTTGTTTGGTCTTCATGTTGATGTGCTCCAGATGGGACTCCACACGGCTCTTAGCTTCTTTCAAGCGAGGGTAATCTGGGTGACATTCGTTGGTGGCCTTGCTGATGCGGCTTAGCAGCAGTGGGTATTTGGTCACGCGCTGAAGCGGCGCCATGAGGAAGGAGCGCAGGTTCATGCGTCTGAGTGCGGTGTTGTCATTCTGGGAGACATCGAGAAATATTCTGAGGGGAGAAAAGGCAGAAACAATCGTGAGATTTAAGAGTCTTTAGTAACACAATATATGCTATGACATACTGTCTTATTACCTGCCTATTATTAAGATAAGAACTGTTCATTAGTAGTTAATAAGTATGATCTTAAACAGCATCTCAAATCCTACACAAAACCTACTCTACGAACTATTAATAAACAGCTAATTAATAGTGTATTAAGCTGGTTGTGTTGGTTATTAGTTTATAATCCTGTGAATTGTGACCTAAACTAAAGTGTTACTGTTTCAATCAGCAAGGATCCATAACATTTGAGACGAGCTGGACAGCAGAAGCAGTGGGTAAGGTTGATAAAGGTAAATATAACTTGTGAAAATGGTGGTGCAATGAAAATACAGGGCCAGTAAAAATATTAGTTTTTCTCAGTCGCTTTGGTGCGTTTCTCACAACACCTGTGCATGTCTGCACAACAGTTGGTGCATTTCTCAAAACAATTAGTACAAACTGCAAAACCTAACTGACCTAGCACATGCTCAAAATGGATAGTTCATTCCTCAAAAGCAAGTATTGATGTCAATCAAAGAGTCAGTATCATCAAAATGAAAAGTCCTCACACCATTGTTTATGAACAAGGTCATGTTTTCATTACGTCAGTTTACTCTGGACATTTTTTTAATGCAAAAAAAGTCAGATTTTGAAACAGATTTGAACAGATTAAAACTTCGTGAAAATGCTCAAGATAGTAATATATAGTATTAGCACAGCCAATTGAAAACTACAGTAAAGTTATACATCACTACATTTAGTGAGTGTATCTAGTACAAGACACTGAATATGTATGTTTCACATTTTTTCTGCATTTGCTCTTTACAATTTGAATTTTTTCACAGCATTGTGCAGAAGAATAAATAAACCCTTATTTACAACAAACATAAACTTTCTTTGGGTTGCACTGTGCACAACTGTAAACAATATTGCAGAACATATTGGAACTGAACCAACATACATACACAGGTCTGTAAATCATTCACGAACCTGTTTAATTTAGAAGACATTTTCAGTAAAATAAAGATTTAAACTTTTTTTTTTTAATAAAATTAGCTTGCAAGATTTTGACAACTTGTTCAACATTTTTGTATCTAATGACTCAAGTAATGAAATGAGGACTATTAGTTTTATATGTAATGACTATTCAGCATTTACAAGTTTAGTTCATTTTGACTGACATGACATAAGCAGATGATAATGTTATAAATAGCAGAGAGTTGTATGAAAGCAATTGATGCATGTCTGAAAGCATTTGCAATTTGCCGAAAGGAATGAAAAACTGCTACTAGGATGCGCAAAAATGACTCATTGTTTTGAGAAATGCATGACCTGTTGTGCAAATGTAAATAGTGTTGTGAGAAATGCACCAAAGCGACTGAGAAAAACTGTAACTACTAGCCTGACAAGTTTTTTTTATTATCATTATTTATTTTATTTTATTATAACTGGAGTATAATTTCCTAATGTGTACCTAAGCAGCTCCTTTTCCTTCTCCAGAGTGTTGAGCATGTTGACAGATGTGGACTGCTGCAAGCAGTAAGTCTGAAATGCTGGAAGCATGTTGACAAACTCCAGGAAGATTTCTCCAATACACACAGCCTGCAGGTCCTCATCACCCTGTATGGAGATAGTCACGGTTTCATTTAGGTAATACATTTGTAGAATTTTCCAATTTTAAGCATTTTTTGAAGCTAAATTTGTCCTTAGTGTATGTGTGTATGCCCTGGTCCTCCAGGTTGGGGGTTGAGCATTAAGCATAACATAAAAATGAGATGTTACGACAACATGGTGTGGCTAAATATCAACTTTGATATAAACGGCCTTGGGAGTAAGTAAATAAGCATTTTTTTGAAGATTTATTTTTTGGCATTTGTTAGGATAAGAGTATTTAGACAGGAAGCACATTTGAAGAGAGAAAGAGGTAGATGGCATCAAGGAAAGGTCAGCCAGCTGGGACTTTAACTTAGGATGCACAAAGCACAATAGCTCTATATGTCGGCAACCTGCTCACAAGGCTGTAAGTGATAATAATGTTACGCATTTATAGTAATTTAAGCATTTTATGCCATTAAATCTAGAATAATTTGACAAAAACTACAACATTCTGAACACACACAAGTTACGACATAATCGTTGACTACAATAGGTACTCAAGGACTGCAGCTGCATCTTGAATCAGTGGAAGATGCTCATCTGATACAGGTTTCTTAATAAATAACATGAATGACTGTATATGTTCACATTTTAACTAGAGGAGTGATGCACTATGGGATGACAAGTAGACAAGCAGAGGGGTCAATGGAGAGAGCCTAGTGGTGAAGCACACTGACACATAGCGCTGCTACAGGGATCTGAGTTTGATTTCCATCTTTCCTGCTATCTCTCTAGTGCTGTATCAACTAAACGTTTTGGAGTGAAGCTCTGGGAAATGTTCCAGTGGGAAAACCTAGGTCTGACATTTGTGCGAATCTTTGTTTGTGCTACTTTCTGAAACACTGTTGTTGACCTCTTCATGGCAATGGTGTTCCTCATGGATGTGTCCTCTTACAGTGGAAAAAGCTCCCTGCCACAATGCTCACATTGTTCAGAAATGGTTTAACGAACATGACGGTTTTCAAACTTCATAACTGCTCCATCAACAGTGCTTCCACCTTAAAAACCTACAAAAAAGCTT